ATGATCTTACTTTTAAAATTTTTGTTTGGATTTTATTATTATTATTATTTTATCAAGTTTATGTCATAATAATTATTTATTTATTTATAAATTGTATTTCTACCTTTTAATTAAAATTAATTGCTCCCACACAATCAAAAATGATTTTTAAGGATTTTTAAAATTACTTTATATATATATATATATATATATATATTAAGAAGTAACAATTAAGTTTGCTTGTTTAGTAATTTTTTAGAACTTTAAAGCTATTTTCTCGTGAAAGCCAAACACATCTCCACGTGGTTTGGAACGTTGAAACAAAAAATTATTATTATCATTTATCGATATACCAAACTAAAATCATAATTAAAGATGAAATCAGTAATTTAAATATTGAGCCGGCCAGCCTTTGTTTCTTGCATTTTTCAGAGACAATTTGTCGGATATGTAAAACTTTTTTAATTGAATTGACTAAAAGTTCATATTTTTCTCTTCAATAATAGGATTTGATTCTAGGAGGAACAGAAACTACAGCTGCTATTATGGAATGGGCCATGACGGAGCTTATCAGACATCCTGAGATCATGCGAAAGGCTCAAGAAGAAGTGAGAAAAGCACTTAATGGAAAGAGGAAAATAGAGGAGAAAGATATCAGCAATCTTCCTTATCTAAATATGATAATCAAAGAAACTCTTAGAGCAAGACCTCCAGGGCCTTTTCTAGTACCAAGACATTCTCTCGAAACAATCAAGCTTGGAGGATACACAGTACCTGCTGGAAGCAGAGTTATGATCAATGCATGGGCGATTATGAGAGATCAAACTTGTTGGGATGAAGCCGAGAGCTTTAAGCCAGAGAGATTTGAAGGTGTTGATATGGCTGATATTAGAGATTCATTCATTCCATTCGGTGGAGGGAGAAGGATTTGCCCAGGAATAAATTTCGGTATGAGAAGCATGGAGAATGTGTTGGCAAATTTACTCTATCACTTTGACTGGAAGCTGCCTGGAGGAAAGAAGCCCGAGGAAGTAGATGTGGAAGAAGCATTTGGCTTGTCTTTGATCAGGAAAAATGACCTGGTCCTTGTTGCAACTCCATACAAATATATATAACGTACTATTTAGATTAATTTGTTTGTAACTTGGTTACAATTAAGCATATATAGTAATAATTAAGGATCTTTCTTGTCATGTATTTATGTACAGACAAAGAAAGATATTAAATAAAGATGTTGTTATCTATGTAAGTTAATTTAGATTTTGTCATTAAATATAAGAAGTTTATTGACACCGGACCGGAGGGGGCTCGACGAATCCATGTCAATGATCCGGTGGCCATGACCAGCTGGCTCAGATCCACTCAGGATACAGGATACAAAACAATGTAAAACTACTCAAATGTTATTCATCTCAACCATCCTCTATTACAAACGTTGTTATCTATTTATAGACAAAGGTAGTCACCTATTAGGCTACACACAATCAAAAGCAAGCACTAAACCTATGTAGTCATATAAGTTACCAAATGTAATAAAACTAGCCTGAAGTTAATACAATCAAACAGCTCAGCTTGAACTTCATTTACATTTCCTGTTAATTCTCATTGATTATATTAACTGGAGAATTTTAAATTAATAGATTGACCGCACATCCTTAACTTTGTCCAGTGGTAGTGCAGACTCGTCACTATTTTCTACTTCTAGAGGTTCAAAATTGTTATCTTATTCAGCAAAGATTCAATCTTAGCAGCTTCCTCGACAACTTGGTATACTTTTCAACTATAGATCTTCTTCGAATGAAAGCGAAGTCATTGGTCCTGTGCAGGAAAGCAAAATCTTGCACATCAAATCATTCGGTATTTTTCAATCTAAAACTGTACTCAAATTTTCCAGAAATTTCTTCTTTAAAATCTCTATAATTAACTGAGTTGACGCACACATTCTTTTCCTAATTAAGTGGTCCATCAGATCTGTAATTTCCAATCAATCAAAGAGATTCTTGTGGAAATGCAGGATCTTATGGGACTCACAACCACTTCCTCATCAAGCAATTCATGTGCTCTTATCAAATTGACTGCTAGATGATTGTCCATCTCAAAAAAATTTCAATGCAAGTTCTTCCTTCTTTATTATCATTAATTATGTAATGCTTTGTTCCTTAATTTTTAGACCGATAAATGATTATTTAGCACATATAAATATGTATATTTTCTAAAATAGATGATTTGAATAATATTATCCAAATCATCTATGTATATAAATATGTATATAAATTTCTGTGTTAATTGGTTGGCTAAGCGGCCTGGGGTGGCAGTTTGGCTCACTTTACAGATTATTGTGTTAAAAACGTTCCTGTGCAGTTAAGAGGGATTATTTATCAGGATGGAATTGGTACTCCTTATATTAGAAATTAGGTTTGTGTTGTGTCGGTGTGGTTTTGGTTCTGTTTTCCTTCGTCTTGTTGGTGCTGTTAGCCTGATGTTCACTTCTGTTTTGTTGTTTGCCTTTGTGTCTTGCTTTTCTTTGGTTTAGCTTTGCTTAAGTTTCATCTGGTTATTTAGAGAGGTTCTTTTGTTTCACTTGTCCTGCTCCCTTTTCGGATATGGTGGTCCGTTTCACTGCCTGGGTGGTTTGTCCCGTGCTGATGGTGGGTTGTCTTGCCTTTGGTTCCAGGTTGTTTTTGCTGGTTTTGGAACTGGAAGGATTTTTCTGCCATCTGATTTTGGATCATTTTTGGGTTGCGTGTGGGCCTGAATTTAGTTCATTCCTTGCCTTTTCTGGTTTCTTACATGAGGTAGCATTTTGTGTTTCTTTCGCTGGATTGGGTTATTAGCATTTCTCTGTTGTGTGTTGATGGGATTCCTCCCGGTTTCCTGATCATTTATGGTTTTAATTCTCTCTGTATTGGTAGTTTTTGCTTCATTTTATTTAAGCCCAGGTTGATGGCTGCTTGTTGTTGTTTCGATTGCTAAAAAATAACTTTTATAGAAAATATTAAATGGCATTCATTCAATTAAAATATCATCAATCTTTGGTGAAGAATATATCATTTTAAAAATTCATGATAGCATGAAACCAATTAATTAAGAATATTTATAAATAATTAAGCAATAAATTCAACTCCCTTGCATATATTTAAAATTTTAACTTTGTTTTTCTAATTTTAGGAGTTTGCTCCATTGTTCTAGGAGAAAGATACAATTTCTTTCAAAAAGAAGTTGCTTATTTTGTGGAAAAAAAAAAAAAAAGGATTGCTAAATTCTAATTATTTGCTATTTACATTTTTTTAGAATTCTTATTTCATTATTATGCTTGATTCAAACTTCGAACAAGATTTAAAAGTCTTATCCCAATATAGCATAAATAATTTTTTTATTTAAATGATATTATAAAATCAACAACTTAAATTTCAACTAATAATCAAATTAATAAATATAACAATTGAATCAAATCGATAGTCATATAACACAATTAGTTCTAATACGTTATCAAAAATCAACTTGATTAACTATCAATCTCAACGTACACTTTAAAAAATAAATTTAGGACAATCCAACTTTAAATATCAAAAAAATTTAGAGTCAAATTAATCATCTCGACAAGATGATCCTATCAACACTAAAAGAGGGTAAATCCATACCCATATAAGACTAAATCAAACACTTTAAGGGTAATTAAAAACTTTGGGACATTAATTGGATGATGAGATGACATCCAAATCTAGCATGCTTATACTCAAATCGGGCACTTTAATGAGATAAAAGCAAAGAGCCCAAAATCACTTAATTTCAACATCATTAAGGCATGCACTTAAATGTGGAAAGCTTAGTCTATGATATAGAAAATTAATATATATTGCTCGATAGAGTATTTATCACTTGCATTCATTTCATTTTCCTATTTTTGGGCTAAATCTTCATGCAAAACTAGAACGTAGAACCCTCTCACTCTACTATCACAAATCATCTTGCACGCAACAATTAAGCGTCATTTTTGGGTACCAATCCCCCATCTTTGTAAGCCCTATGAACACCTATTCAATGGATAATAGGTGTAACAACCACAACAACTAAACCTCTCACTCCAACACTCATCATTCAAGGGATCAATCTTTGAACGAAAGATGCTAAGCATTTGGTGAAGGCACATCAAATCCATCCCTTAAAGACCGCATTCCCAGAATTTTGCCAGCTCCATGCTAATGAATGAGCACACAAAAGGATCACATTAAATGAGTAAAGCCCTATGATTTTTCCCTTTTACAGATTTTTCATGTAAAAATTATAGTATCACCCATATGCTTTTCATTTTCCTATGTGAGTGCTAGATTTTCATGCAAAACTAAAAAGCAAAACTCTTCCACTCTCTTGTGGTGAATCTTTTAACACAAGTTAGATTCAATTTTTATATTTTATCTATAGAAATGCATAATGATAAGAGAGGTGATTCCACATCACACTCATTAATCAAATTTGCATCCAAAACACCACAATATAAGTGCATAACCACATAATTTTGCCATTTGCATCATGAATTTTATGGGAGGAAGCCCCAAAGATGAAAATTTTGAAATGAAACAATCGAACGTTGATGTGCTCTTTCCTCACAATTCCAGCCTACATATAAAGGAAAAATTTTAGTCCCATGATTCAGAAAAAAAAGGGGAAAAAAGAAAAACTAGCAATGGATACTCAAGACATAAATTTATTGACACACATAATACTAAAATGAATTCTTGGTTCGTTTCTGGGATATATATCTGGTTCACTAATTTGTGGAGGAGGCTGTGAGAGCAGTGAGGGAAGAAGAGGATCGGAACAGAGAGAGAGATCGAGAAGCAAAAGTAATTCAATCTTATTATTCAAATAACTATTACAGGGAGTATATATAGGGAAAACAGAGATACAAGAGTAAATAACAGTTGGTGTAGAATAAGCTAAATAATAATATCTGCTCACATCCTCCCTCAAATTAATCATCCGGTTCACAGATGGTTAATTTGGAGCGAAGATAGTTGTAACGAGTACTGGAGAATGGTTTCATGAAGATGTCCGCGACTTGTTCTTGTGATGAAATGTGATGAATATGAATGTTGCCATTGGTAATGTGCTGACAAATAAACTGATAGTCTATTTCGATGTGTTTTGTCCTGGCGTGGAAGACGGAGTTCTTGGCGATGGCGATGGCGATGGCGGAGATGTTGTCACAGTGGACGATCGTCGGAGCATATTGAGATAGCTACAGCTCGGCGGATAGTCAACGAAGCCAAATAGCTTCGGATGTCGCGGCGGACAAAGCACGATATTCTGCCTCAATTGATGATTTTGCTACCGTTATCTGTTTCTTGACGGACCAGGAGATTAAGTTGGGTCCCATGAAAGTACAGTGATCGGTGATAGATTTCTGGTCGGTTGTGTCGGATGCTCAGTCCGCATCGGTGTATGTTTGAAGTTGATAGTCTCCTGGTTGGATAGGAAGGCCAAAGTGTTTGGTTCCTTTGATGTACCTAAGGATCCGCTTGAGGCTCTTGAAATATTGATCGGTAGTTTTGTGCATTCGCTGACATGCTTGATTTGTGGCGAACGCGATGTCCGGTCTAGTGATAGTGAGGTACTGAAGCGATCCTGCGAGGCGGCGATAGAGAGAAGGATCGTGAAACGGAGGTGAGTTGGGCTGTCTGTTGGAGGTCGCGGGAGCTATCGGAGTCTGAGAATTCTTGCATTGATCGAAGCCAGCGTCATGTATGAGTTTGTTGGCGTAATGTTCTTGAGTCAGGAAATAGCCATTTTGTGTTTGAATGACATGGATTCCAAGAAACAATGATATGTTGCCTAACTGTTTTAAAGCAAACTCAATGTGAAGGTCACGGAGGAGTTGCCGAATGTTTTCTTGATTATTTCCTGTCACAAGTATGTCGTTAACATAAATTAGGAGAAATATTTGAATGTTATGTTTGGAATAAATGAGAAGAGAAGAGTCAGAACGACTAAACCCGAAACCACGAGTGAGAAGAAAATTGGTGAATTTCTGGAACCATTGACGTGGCGCATGTTTCAATCCATAGAGAGATTTGTTTAGTTTGCAAACGTGGTGTGGATGACGTGGATCTTCGAAGCCCTGCGGTTGACGCATATAGATGTCATCTGGTAGGTCGCCGTGAAGAAAGGCGTTAGTGACGTCCAATTGAAGAACATTCCATTGCCGGTTGACTGGTAAAGTGAGAAGCATACGAAACATAATCATCTTGGCGACCGGACTAAAGGTTTTGATTCTTGGACATATTATATCCTTTTTAATAACTTCAGACAGAATCCACATACACTATAGGAATTTCAGTTTTTCGCTGTGGAATTTACAGCGGAATAATGTTCGTCATGGCAGATTTGCGACAGAAATTCCTCCACAAATTTGTGACTGAAATTGTTGTTGCATATCTGATGCAAGCTTAGTTATAAAATAAATAAAAAAGAAGCATTTTAAACGCTTTTATCTCCATGGCCGAGTGGAGAAGGGCGACGATTTTTGACGAGTGGAGTTAGGTTCTAATCTCAGGCAGGCCGGTCA